GCCTCCGTGCGCTGTTGAAGCTGAGCCTGGTGCTGCCCACGCAGGGTGCTGAGTCCTGCAGAGCAGAGGACAGGCTTCACTCCATGCCCATTGATAACGTGGGCTCTGTGATGAGTTCTCTCGCACTGGAACCCCTCAGATGCACACCAATAGAATGGTGAGCAGTTCCAACAGGGGTGCACCCCCTGCACCCCCTACCCCTCTGCTATAAACCCCCTAGAAAATAAATCCTTGCTCCAGAATCCAGATCAGCACCATGCAGAACAATTGGGGTCATTGCAAATCATTTCCCCATTAATTCCCATCCCATTCCACCATCCCACCCAGCTCTGGCCACCCTCTGCTCAGGGCTTTGTCACCTACCTGCACCTGCAGCCGCCCGCAGCCAGGGATGAGCAGAGTGAGTGGAGCAGCACAGCCCTTATCTGTGTGGGGTGGGGATGGGGCTGCAGGATGGGGTGTGACGGAAGCAGTTTCTCAACTCTGTTTTGTAAAGTCTCTCTCTCTCTCTCTTTTTTTTTTTTTTTTTTTTATGTAAAGGGTCACTTTGAACTTGGAGGCCAGGGAATGACAGCTGCTCATGGAGACAAAGTGCCCCCAGCCAGTGAGAGCCCTTTGGGTTACCTGGGAATGCATCTCATGGGTAGCCTGTTTCCTTCCTTATGGTTTTGTGAGCGCCTGTTATGATTCCATCCAGCACATAACTGGAAGAAAAAGGCTTTAAAAATAAGGAAGTGAGACCAAGGGGACGCGGCACAAATCCAGAGGGTGACAACGATGCTGGGAACCCCATGCGTGCTGTGTGCCTTGTGCTGAGCCCTGGCAGGAGACAGCTGGGGGATAGCAATGTGGGGGTTCTGCCAGCCTCTTGTCCCTGTTTTGGGGTGCCACTGAGGGGTGGGAGCCACAGGTACCCTACTCAGAGCTCACACCCAGCCCCAAAACTGCCTTAGGGCCCATCACTGGAAGTGGCCCCTGGTGTTTTCTGGGGGTCCTTTGCGTGTTGGTGGCAGTGAGATGGGGACACTGCATGCTGCCCAGCTGTGGGGTTGCTCCTGGGCAGCTGCTGTATAACCCCAAAGCCTCATGGCCTGAAGGATGCACACAGACCCTTTGTTCTTTGTTTTTTCATCCATGCCAACCTCAGCAATGGTGTTAAAGTGTCATTAAGAAATGGTGCTTGTCCCTACAACCACAGTGCAGGGCCGCACTGCTCCCACTCATCCTCCTCGAGATCTCTGAACTCTGCAGGAATTTGGAGGAACTTTTCCTCCACCTCTGTTGCTTTGTTTTGGAACAGTCCCAGCCGCTGGCACTCTCACTGCCCTCTGGCTGACATCTAGGTATGTCTTTGGTGCAGTGCTGTCAGGGGAGGAGAGGGGCTGAGCCCCCCAAGGCATGCACACAGAGGGGATGGAGTACTGGGTGACATCCGAAGCCCCAACCCTCCCCCACCCCATGGCCTCAGGGACTTGGGAGCTCAACCAATGCCAATGTCAAGGGAAGTATGAACGGGTGGAATCGAGGTAATGGGGATGGAAAATGTCCCCAGGGCAGAACTGCTTAAGAGAGGGCCATGAACCCTATGGGGACACAGCATGGGGCAGGTGAGAGGTGACCGAGGGTTGGGGAAGGGCTGGGCTGTGGCATCTGCCCCAACTGCCCCACAAACCTTCGCTACCAGCACGGGGTCACCGATCGGGACGGCTGTAGGGTGGATGACCCTGCTGGTTTCAGTTGTGGGGTTTCAGCTGGATAAGGATGAGAGTGTGATGATGACACAACAGGTTGGGTTGGCCGAGTTGGAGTGTGGGGCTGTCCTGCTGGGCCGGTCTGGGCTCATTCCTACCAGCACCGGTAAGTGGAATTGCATTGGCCCCACAGTGACTGGGGGTGGTCTGGTACAGCTGTGAGTGAAGGAAGAATCACAGGGGAAGAGCATCAGGAGGAGATGGTTTACTATGGCAATGCCCACAAATACACAATAAATAAGGGTTGTTACTGGGGGTACAGAAGACCACGAAACACACAAATACCCAAACGTGACCCCCCCAAGCTTCACGTGCACAAAGTGGATCGACACAAAATGCAGCAAACGCCGCGTGGAGGTGATGTGGGCAGTGCTGCCCACTGGGCAATAGCTTTGGGGTTGGCTCCTGCAATATCACTCAAAGTGCAACACAGCGTGGGACTGTGGGATGCAGTGCTCCAGCTATGACCATCCCCATGGCACAGTGTCCACACGCTGCCACTGCAGTTGAGGGCACAATGTCCCCAGTGTGTGGCTACAGCCACCATTGGCATGGGGATGTTCCTGCACAGATGGGTGCATCCCAGCTCTGATGCAGTAAATGTCACCCGTAACCTTTCGGCCCTCCTGGGCACATCCCTGACATTAATTCTTTGGCAAACACTCAGTGCTGTTAATTTACAGCTTTGGGAGTGCCTGCAGCTGCCTGCCCTCCCTGGGCACACCTGGAGGTGGGGATGGGCCCTGGTGGGGAGGAGCCAGCCCTGCTGATCCCCAGAGCCCCCACCACCCCCCATCTGTCCTCTGATCCATCTCAGCAGGAGCTGCCTCCACACCCAGGAAAAAAGGGGATGCTAGTAGAAAGGAGAATCTATTAGAAAAAGCGTGGGGATGCTGGCTGCTTTAATTCAAGGTAAGTACTAAAAATACGTGCATCTCTGGGACCATCGGAACTGCTAAAAGACAAGATTCGTTCCATAGAAATCTGAAAAAAGCTTTAAAATCTCTTCATATCAATTTGCTCATCTTCAACAAACCTTTAAAAACACGTAGGTAGGTGGCGAGGCCGTGCCGCAGTCCCAGCTCGTGGGCAATAAGGAGGGAACATCCCACCTCCTGCACTGAGGACCGCAGTGGGATGGAGCACTGGACACGGAGCCCACGGAGGGCACACTGAGCACCCGAGTGGGACTGTGGGTGCATCCAGCACACTCATGGCACAGCCATGCTGCCCCGGCGCAGGGATGCAAAGCTCCAAGGTCACTCTAAGCTGGTGCGTGGCACACTGACTGCTGCTGTGGCACACAATTAGGAAAGGGGCATCTGGTGGCCAGGTGGGTGATGGGCACGGTAAAAAAAGAAACCGATCCTAATTGCTGCTAAAATCTGCCTAATCCCAGACCCAGAGGTGAGGGAAACCACAGCCTATGGAAAGTGTGGATGTGGAGTTGGTGCTGGGCTCTGAGGGTAGGCTGCCAGAACTCATCAGACAACTATGGAGCAAAGGGTTGGGAACGCGTGGAAATGGCCAGCGCTCACTCCAGAGCCCATTCAGCCAACCACTGCTCGCACTGCACACGCTGCTCCTCCAGCTCCAGGCTGTTGGCTTTGCTCAGTGCCTCCTCTTCTTTGTCCCCAGGCATGGCTTGCTGGCTTTGCCCCACGTCCCCCTTCTGTACTGCCTTGTCCTTCAGCTCCTGGATGGTCTCGTCCAGGCGGTGCACAACGCGCTGCGGCACCCAGTTGCCATCCATGGCTGTGACAAAGGGGTCAGGCGTGCAGACCTCGATGAGCTCCTTGCAGGTGGGGATGCGCAGGTAGTAGGCGTGCAGCATCATGCGGTATGGACCGCTGTCCTTCTTGTGGCTGTACGTAAAGTCCCCCACAATGGGGTGGCCGATGGCACTGCAGTGAACCCGGAGCTGATGGGTGCGCCCTGGGAGGGGGGGAGCAGGAACTGGGGCTACAGGGTGTCACCAAATCCCCCCCTGGCATCCCCATGACGGTCCCTCTAATTGGTGTCTCTCCAATTGGAGCACTGAAGTCCATGAAGTCCAGTCAGCCCCTCCTGGGCTGCTTTGCACCACCAATACCCAGGGCTGCAAGCACAGATCCCACCCTGCGCTATGGACACATGCACCACGTGAGCCCCCCCAGAGCCCCACCTGTCAGCGGCTGCAGCAGTACTTTGGTCACAGGATCTCCGCTGTAAGATCCGTGCTCGAGCACAATCAGCTCCGACTGGCACGGCTTGGGGTTTTCACAGCCTGCAAAAAGATCCAGGGTCAGCCCTGCCCAGCTCCCCGGGTTCAAGCAGGGTGTGGGTGCTGCTCACCCTCTGTCCCCTCAATGCACATCATGTGGGTCATGCCCTCCACTGTGTTCTTGCCGATGGCATAGCGGATCGTCATGCGGCTCTGCTCAACGTGGCCCCTCACCTACAGGAGACAAAACTGGATTGCAGGACGAGCCCAGGCCCACTCCCTTCCACCCCCCAGCTTGTATGGCTAGCGCTGAGCTCACCAGGGCCAGGTAGGCTTTAGTCACCAGGCGGTCCTTGAAGCACTTGTAGGCGCTTCCTGCCGCCGCTTTGTTGAGCGCGACGCAGAGGGCCCCGCTGGTGGAGAAGTCGAGCTGGTGGCAGAACCTGGAGCGGAGGGACGTGAGGGAGCACCGCGGCCGCTCGGCCACCGATGCACGGCCCGGCCCGCGGCTGGGGGCTCACCTGAAGCCGTAGTATGTGTCGGGGTCGGCCAGCTCGGGGAAGCGGTGCTTCAGCTGGCTCTGCAGGGTCAGCGTCTCGTACCACATCTTGCTGTCGATGCGGATGTCCCAGTGCTTGTTGACCACGATGAAGTCAGGGCTCTGGTACAGGATGCAGAGGTTGTCGATGGTGCCCGGCTCCATGGCGAGCGCCCTGCGGGGACAGCGGCGGGGCTGGGGCCGGGCGGGCCGGGGCTGACCGCGCATCGCAGCCCCGCATCTCTCGCTCCCGCGGCCCCGCGCAGCCCTCCCGGAGCCCCACGCCCGGCCCCGCTCCCGGCCCACCTGCGGCGCGGCCCCGGCCCCGCCGGGCGGAGCGGAGCGGCCGCAACGCGTCACCTCGGCGCCAGCCGCGGATCGCCACGCAGCCAATCAGCGCGTCCACCGCTTGCTGACCTTCTCCTCGCATCCAATCAGCGCGCACGCAGCTTGCGGTGCCGCGCCCCGCAGCCAATCAGCGTTGGACCTTCCGATCGGCGCGGCGGGCGGAAGCTCGGGCTCGCGGGGTGGCTCCGGTGCGCGGCGCGGCTGATGGAGAGCCCCGGGGACGAGGATGACTTCAACGAGCGGTTCGCCGCCGAGCTGGAGGTGCTGGCCGAGCTGGAAGGTGCGCGGGGGGGCCAGGCCTGTTCGGTGCTGCTGGGACCGGGTGGGCGCAGCCGGGGGCTGGGGTCATGCGCTGCTGCCGCGGGGAGCCACGGGGGAGGGCCGGGAGCTGGGCCGGGAGCTGTGCCGAGCGGCTCGGAGAGGAGGCGGTTCGGGGATCCCACCTGTGGCTGTAAGTGTGGAACCAGGCACTGTTCGGTGGTGGGAGCGGAAGCGCTGGGCACGAACCGGAGTGCAGGAGGTCTCATCAGGCAGCAGTGTTGTGCTGTGCGAGCGGGGAAGCACAGGGACCCAGAGAGGCTGTGGGCTCTGCTCCTTGAAGATCTAACCCTAATCCTAAACCCACCTGGACGCGGTCCTGGCCCCCTGCTCTCGGTGTCCCTGCTGCAGTAGGGTGGCACTGAAGGCACCCGGTGGTCCCTTCCCACCTCTACCACCCTGCACTTTCTTCCAGATTACCCATCCCCTCCTGGCCCCAAAGTCTCCAAGTTCCGCAGCAGGAAGCAGCTGCAGGATGAGGCTGGCCTGGCTGTGGAGCCCAACGCCAGGAAGAGGAGCCAGGAGTGTGCCCTGCACCCATCCCCACTGCCCTCGCTGTCTGCAGAATCCCCCGTGGCCCTCAGTAAGGTTTTGTGGCGTTGGTGATCTGAGCACTCTGTGGCTCCCTGCTACATCCCAGTCTGTTCCGGGCTTTGCTCTGTGCTGTGTCTTTCATCTTTCCCCCACCTCTGTGTCTCGTGCAGCTCCAAAGCCAAAAAGGCAGCGTCTGGAAGCTGTGAAGAGGCTGAACTTTGGTGGGGATGGTGAGCTGGACCCAGATATCCTCCAGGATGCTGTCACACTTGTGCCTGGCTCAGCGTCACCCCGTGGTCCCCATGCTGCCAGGTTGGCCGTGCCTCTTTGTGTCACTGGGCTTTACATCTGCCCACCTATGCCACGGGATCTCCATGGATGGGGTTTGATTGCTCCTTCTCTCACCCTCTGCTGAAATAGCCTGGCATTTCCCAGCCCAGAGCTGGAAGTGAGCGGCCTGGGGCCCCTGCAGAGCTCACCACCCACCGAGAACCCAAAGCGTGTCCTCAAGCGCCCGCCTGTCCTGGGGGACTACATCAATGTGACATCCAGTGAGGGCACCAGGGTCTTCATGGCAGTGAAGGACGATCCTTCCCAGATAGGGATGGAGGTAAGGGGACCCCCATCCAGTTCAGGAGCTCTGATGGTACATGGAACATGTGCCGAGCATCAGCACATCCTCTGTTCCTCGCAGCTTCGTGATTCTGTGGGCTGGAACCGGCCTCTCCATCTGCTGGGAGTCCCCTTCTCCTACCTGAAGGAACAAGTGTATGAAGAGGTACCGCTCCTTCCTGACAGCCCCTGGCCCCACTCACCCATCATCACGGGTTGGTGGGATGTTTCTCACCCCTCTCACCCTGTTTGTGCCCCAGCATCGGAGGAGAGCTGTGGAAGCATCACAGCAGTTGACGGAGATAATAACCAGGTGAAGTCTGGGCAGGTCCTGTCCTCACCATGCTCTCAGTTGTGAGACGCTGGATGTTGGATCCATATCTGCCTGCAGCATTGTTAGCCTGGGAGACATGGGATGAGCTCCCAGCTCTGCTTCCTTCTGCCACATGGCTTGTGTTCACCCCTCCTTTTAGCTCCTTGGAGACCGGTGATGAGGCCACAGAGCAGCCTGGGGACATGATTGAGGAGGAGCCTACTCCCCATTGCCTCTGGGTGGACAAGTTTGCTCCCCGGCGCTACATAGAGCTGCTCAGCGATGATGTGAGCTGCCAGGGCCAGCGGGGTTTGGGTGGATGTTTGCTTTATTCCTTAATGCTGTGGGCGATTGGGTTGGGCTTGCCATTTCATCCGGCCCTTGGCTGGATGTTTGTGAGGTTCACTGGTGATGGCTCTTATTCTTGTTTGCTGCTCAGTACACAAACCGCTGCCTGCTGAAGTGGCTGAAGCTCTGGGACACGGTGGTGTTCGGTAAGGAGAAGCCCATGAAGAAGGCAAAGCCTGGTGCTGAGGCTCACCCCCCATTCAAGCAGCCCAAGGAACTGCAGAACAAGTGGAAAACAAAGGCACAGCTCACAGAGGAGATCCTGGAGGCTGAGCTGGATCAGCACAAGAGACCCAAATACAAGGTGAGCAGGGCAGGGCACAGAGCACATCCACATAGTGTCCCCCAGACCCCAGCACTGGAGAGGAGCAGTGTCTGTCCTTTCTCTTCCAGTACAGATCCAGGAGAAATCTGCTTCCATGTCTCTCATTTAGAAATATGCCGTGTTTTATTATTGTTGTTTTTTGTTTAATCTTTTTTCAGTTTCAGTTGTTTCAGTTGAGTAATATGTTAACCATATGTAGCAGAAATGCTAAATCATGACTTGAAACAGTGATTGAGCACCTGGTGGGAAGGCAGGGCCAATCCAGGAGAGCTCAGGTGCATGCAACACACCTGATTGACTGGAAGGGGTGGAGCCAGGATCCATCCCCTTCCAAGGCCTCACTTAAGGGTTGGCAGTGGAGGTGAAGGTATCTCTTGCTGGAGGTTCCTGCCTCCTTGAGGCCTTTCAAAGGTAAGCAGCTCTTTCTGTATCTGTGGCTTCTGGATTTGGCCTTGTTCTCATTTGATGTAGCTGAAGGCTTTGCTACCCTGCTGTTATCATCTCGTTATAGCATCCCACCAGGGAAGGGGAACAGGGCCAGCCATATTAGATGGGCTGGTAGAGGAAAGAAGCCCCAGCCTGTCGGAGGTTGGACTTGACTTCATTCACTATGGACAAACATAATATAGCTTTGGGCAAGTGCTTCTGCATCCAGAAAAGAGCAGAAATGCTGAAAGGGCAAAAGAAGCAGAGATAACATGCAGGCCATTTTACAGCTTTGCTGCATTTGGTGAAAGATTACTTAAAAAAAAAAAAAAAAATCCAGGAAGCAAAAATAGATACTAAGAAGTCTTATGGGAGTATAATTCTTCAGGGAGCTTTGTGCACCTTTTTCTATTGTCCTATAAATATACACATGCATGAGTGATGCCAGCTGGGACAGCTGTCACCTTTGGGAGCTCCTGCTCTATTTTCCCTCCCATGGTGACCTTCTCCTGGTGTCTCTACAAACACAACTGGGGCTAAAGACACAGCTGTCCCCCTGGCAGTGTGGTCAGTCTGTGCCTCCCCATGTCCCCTCTCCCTGCAGGTGGCCCTGCTGTGTGGCCCACCCGGCCTGGGGAAGACAACACTGGCACACGTCATTGCACAGCATGCAGGGTATAACGTGGTGGAGATGAATGCCAGGTGAGCATCAGAACAACCCTGTGAGGATGGTCATGATGGGGTGGCACTGAGCTGAATTGGTGTCCCACAGCGATGACCGCAGCCCGGAGACCTTCAAGACACGCATTGAAGCTGCCACCCAGATGAAGTCGGTGCTGGGTGCTGAGGAGAAACCCAACTGCCTCATCATCGATGAGATCGATGGTGCACCCACTGTGAGGCCTCACCTGGACTCATGTCTCTGAATCACAGAGTGGTTGGGTTGGAAGGGACCCCAAAGCTCTCCAGCTCCACCTCTGCTATGGGCTGAGTGCCCCCCACCAGCTCAGGTTGCCCTGAGTCTATCTTTGGCCTGGGGCAACCACAGCTGTGGGCAGCCTGTGCCTCCTCTCTGTTGATGCAGCCCAGGATAACTATTGGCCCAGACTCATAGTTGGCTTCTCATCCACTGAACTTCCAAGTCCTACCCTGCAGGGCTGCTCCCTATGAGTTCTTTTCCTGGGATTGCCCTGCACCCTATGCTTGGCTGTGTAGAACTTCATCAGGTTCACATGGGCCCACTTCTCAAGCTTACATCTGGCCACCATTTGCTTAATTATTACTCTAAACAGCAAGCACTCATTTCTTCTGTCCCTTCATTTCTCCCAAGGCCTCCATCACTGTGCTGCTGAACATCATCAACAGCAAGGAGCCTGAGGGTGAGGTGGCTGCAAGCGGAGGGCGACGGAGAAGGCGAGAGGGCAGCCTGCTGCTGCGGCCTGTCATCTGCATCTGCAATGACCAGTGGGTGTCAGGAGAGAAGCTGGGGCACCTGCCTTAAGGGTGGCTCTGATATCGTAGCATCGTGGAATGGCTGGGTTGGAAGAGATCTTAAAGATCATAGAATCTTAGGATGATTGGGTTGGAAGGGAGCTTGTTAGAACCATGGAATGGTTGGATTGAAAGAGACCTTGTAGGTCATAAAATCATAGAACCATAGCATGGTTCGGTTGAAAGGAACCTTGCAGCCCCAACCCTCTGCCATAGGCTGGCTGCCCTCCCCTTTCCCCCCATCCCCTCCAACTTCAGCTCAGGCACCTCCAGGGATGGGGCACCCACAGCTCTGGGCAGCAGTGCCAGCCCCTCACCACCCTCTCTCCCTGTGCCAGGTATGTCCCTGCGCTCCGACCACTGCGGCAGCAGGCATTCCTGCTCAGCTTCCCCAGGACAGCCCCGTCCCGGCTGGCCCAGCGCCTTGGGGAGGTATGGATTAGCCCCAGCACCACTCCCTGCATGGCCAGGAGCAGTGCTCAGTTCCCTTCTCCTACAGATTGCCCAGCAGCAGGGCATGAGGGCGGACATGGGAGCACTGCTGGCACTGTGTGAGAAGACAGAGAATGACATCCGTTCGTGCATCAACACCCTGCAGGTTTGTGTAGTGCTGGGGGCTGGGGAGGCAATAAGAGTCTTATGGGGAGCAGCTGAAGGAACTGGGGTGGTTCAGTCTGGAGAAGAGGAGACTCAGAAAAGACCTTGTGGCTCTCTATGACACTCCAAAAGGAGGTTGTGGCAAGGGGTGGTTGGGCTCTTCTCCCAGGTAGCAGCAATAGGACGAGAGGGAATGGCTTTATGTAGTGCCAGGGGAGGTTCAGGTTGATATTGGGCAACTTTTCCTCTCTGAAAGAGTGACTGGGCACTGAGCCCAGGGAAAGGGTGGGATCACCATCCCTGGAGGTGTTCCAGAACTGTGGGATTTGTGGCACAGGTGGATGTGATCAGTGAGTGTAGTGGGTTGGGTTGGTACTGGACTTGAGGATCTTAGGGGTCTTCCTCAACCTCAGTGATTCTGTGGTTGTATTACTTGCTTGTTTCTTGTGTTGCAGTTCCTGCACGGCCGAGGCCAGAAGGAGTTGGATGTGCGAATTGTGCAGACAATGAGGATTGGCTTGAAGGACCAGAACAAGGGACTCTTCTCCATCTGGCAGGAGATATTCCAGCTCCCACGAGTTCAGAGGTAAGAGGGGGACTTGTTGGCTCACACATGCTGCATTGTGGGCTCTTTATTCAGAAGCTGTGTGGAGATGCCTGAAACATCCTGGAGACCAGGCTCTGTCTCAGCAGATTTGTATGTTCCAGATGTACCCAATAATTGGCACAGGCTGCCCAGGGGAGTGGTGGGGCCACTATCCCTGGAGGTGCTCAAGAACAGTAGAGCTGTGGCACTGAGGGACGTGGGTTGGTGGGGATGAGTTGGTGGTTGGACTTGGTAATCTTAGAGGGCTTTTCCAACTTTAATGGGTAGCTGCCTCATACCAGCTCAGGCTGCCCAGGGCTGCATCCAGCCTGGCTCTGGGCACCCCTAGGGATGGGGCAGCCACAGCTATGGGCAGTCTGTGCTCATCCTGTCCCTCCTGCTCTCTGCAGGCACCACATAGGGATGGATCCCTCGCTGCCCAACCATCTGCTGGCAGATGAGGATGAATTGTCACACCTTGGTGTAAGGACTGCCCTCACTGCCTCTTCTCACCGCTTCCACCGCGTCCTGCACCTCGCCAGCTCCTTGGGGGAGCAGGAGAAGCTTGCCCAGGTTGGAAAGCTGGGCCTATGAGCTATTGCCTTTGCTGTTTGGGGATGGGATACAAGGTGCTGGGGCTGAGTTAAGTGGGGTTCTCAAAATCCCAGTGACTTCAGTCCCACTACCTGGCCACTTGTAGGGTCTCTATGAGAATTTCCTGAATATGAAGCTGAGAGACTCCAGTTTTGGCTCGGTGTGCCTAGCCCTGGAATGGCTGTGCTTCTCTGACATGCTGAGTAGGGCTGTGCTGCACAGGCAGAGCTTCCAGCTGATGCGCTACCTGCCCTTCGTGCCTGTGGCATTCCACCTGCTCTTTGCAGCCACCAGCATCCCCCGGCTCTCTTACCCCAGCAGCCATCATGAGGTGAGTACTGGGAACATGCAATGCTGGTGGTACTTCATTCCTCCTGGGGACGTGGCTGAGCCATTTCTTCTCTCCTATCCCTCTCTGCAGGCCCTGGCCAAGCTGAACCACATGCAGAACCTCATGGTGTCCATGGTGTCAGGGATCACACCCAGTGCCCGCAGCCGTGCTGGGCAGCAGTCTCTTGTTCTGGAGGTGCTCTGCCTGCTGCTGGATATCATTGCACCCAAGCTGCGGCCGGTGAGTGTTCCCCTGTGTTCTCTGTTAGTGGCTCCCAGCCTGGGATTTGTCCTTGTTTTGTTGCAGCCAAGCAGGGCTGCTACATGTGGTACTAAATCCCTTATTTGGGGTTAGCATGAAATTGCAGAATTGGAGGGGAGGTGGCACTGGGACCCCCACACATGGGGTTAGGGGCTTGGTGTGAGTGAGGACCTCGGGGGACCTATGCTGGGTGCAGTCCTGTGGCTTTGCCCTGTTGTACCTGTACCTCTGTGTATGTCCCCTTTGGGCTGCCAGAGGAGAATCCCCTGCTCTGCACTCTATTAGGTGTCCCTGCTCTGATCTCTGTGGGTATATAGGGAGCTCAACTTCCCTTCTTCCTACTGCGATCCTTATGGATCTTCATTGTCTGCTCTCATTCACTAGACAAGAAGCTGCTGTGGGTTATCTTGATGCTGGGACACTGCTCAAGATGAGCTGTGCTCTCACCCCTTTTTCCCCACCCCTCCCCTTGCTCCCCCCAGGTGAACACACAGCTCTACAGCCTGAAGGAGAAGCAGCAGCTGGCAGCACTCATCAGCACTATGCTGGCCTATAACCTCACCTACCACCAGGAACGCCTGCCTGAGGGCCAGTATGTCTACAAGCTTGACCCGTGAGTCCCAAGGGTTGAGAGAGGGTATTTGGACTGAAAATAACCTTGATAGTGGATTTGGGGGCTTTTTTTTTTTTTTTTTTTTTTTTAAAGGAAAAGCCCTGTGCCCCATGGGTTGGCTCAGAGCTGCTTCTGGTGTGGTGTCTCCCCTGGGTCATTGGCAGGCTGGCGCCAAGGCAGGGCTGTGCTGCTGTTAATCAGGTTGGGAGGAAGGAGACAGCTGTCCTTGGCTCCCAGCAGGGTGGTTGTGAGCTGGCAGTGGATGGGCTGAGGCTGACAGCAAGAAACCCAGGTGTATCGCAGGCCAGGAGCACCTGTGTGCTCAGTTAGCAAGGATGGGGTAGGCAGAGGGCTGTGGGTGCTGGCCCTGCTCCTGCAGGCTGCTGGGAGTTCACAGGCTGGGGGCTGCATGGGGATAAGAACACAAGTAGCAGCCTTGAGTTTATTTGCTGACTTTGTGTGTTCATAGCGTGTCATTGCCCTGCTCAACTCCTTGCTGTGCTGGACCCACAGAGCTGTACACACTCCTGGGTTTTTGGTGACATAGCACAGACCTGACCGGAGCTGGGAGCAATGCTAATGTCTTCCTGCTACAAAGTTAATTACAAAAATTAGCCTCTGTTAAATCAAGCAGCTGTATCTAATTAGAGAGCAGTGCTTTTTTTTCCACAGGACTGCTGGGATAGGGGCATGGCCACCCTGTGCTGCCCACCCTGCACTGCTTGGCCCGCCCCATGCTGTGGCAGTGACTACCCTGTGTCCTCATGGCATCCTGAAGTCTCCTCTCAGTGTCTCTCGTTGAGCAGAGCTGTTCAAGCAGCAACACTTTTGGTTTGCTCTGAGCTGTCACAAGTACAAAGCCCTCCGATGGCACCACTCTGCTCAGTAGAGTCTGCAGCTCAGGGGAAGGGTTGCACTGCTGCTGGAGCCTGAGCTGCAGTGCTGTGACTTCAGCTTTCCTGTGGCAATCTGCTCAGCACAGAGCACTGTGTGATTTCCTGTTCCTGCACTAAAACTGAGCTGAAAAGCACATAATCTCCTTGGGATTGTCATTGAGCTGTGGGGCAGCACAGCTCTGCATGTCCTGTGCTGTTTGCTGGGTGTCTTTGCATACTGATGCTAACTGTGCTGACCTGGAGAGGGCAGCAATAGGGAAACTGAGTCATCTCCCCCACACTGGGGCGGGGAGAGGACAAGGCTGGAAGTCAGATCTTGCTGTGTTTAAACCCCTCTGCACAGGGATGGGGCAGCAAATCCCACTGAGCTCAACTTGCCCTGCTGATTTGTGTGTTTGTGCTCAGTGTTGATGCTTTCATCACGAGGGACTGATGTTTTCCCCTCCTTCCTGCAGGAATGTGGAGGATGTGTGCAGGTTCCCTGACCTGCCAGCCCGCAAGCAGCTCACCTACCAGGCCAAGCAGCTCATTGCCCACGAGATTGAGATGGAGAAGATGCGGAGGACTGAGGCAGTGCTGCAGGCACGGAACCTCAGCGAGGTGGGGAGGGGAAGGGAGTGGGCTGCTGGGGGGTACAGCACCTGCAGGTGGGCAGTGGGATCATAAATAGGATGGTTAAGGTTGGGAAAAGTCCTCTAAGATCACCAAGTCCAGCCATGAGTAAAGTCCTTAGGGCTGTTGAGTGGATCCTCAAAAGCAGCGGAGACCTCAAAAGGAGTCTGGGGATGGAGCTGAAAGGTGTGTGGGGTTACACAGTGCCTCTGCCTGTGGATGGCAGCAGAGGTACAGCTGCAGGCTTTGTGCTCTGCACATGGAAATCCAGGATTAACCCCCCTCCCCCTCACCCCAAATCTGCCTGGGGTTTGCAGGGCAGCACAGCAGCTAACCCAGAAACAGGACAAAAAGACCATTCTCTGTGAGTTAAATCTCAGAGACCTTCACCTTTCTCAACCAGTGCTGTGACAAGGTGGGGATCTCACTTCCCCTGCCTGTACACATCTTCCCTGGGTTGCCTGGGCTCTGAGCACCTGATGGGGCTGTGGGTGTTCCTGTTCAGAGCAGGCATTGTGACTAGGTGGCATTTAGAGGTTCTTTCCACCTCAAACCATGTAGCTCTGCCTGGTGCCAGGGGATAATTAGTCCCAGGGAGCCCCTTCTTGCAGTTTCTCTGGGGACACCCATGGCACAGAACCCTCTCTGGGGGTTTCTTGTTTACATGGTGCCAATGTGCAGTCCCCATGCAGGATGCCCCAGGTGCTGTCTTGGCTCATCTGAAACTGAACCTGATGACAGATCCTTCCCAGGTCCTTGAGGTACTGCAAACCAGATATGTGGCAAATTATAGACTCATAGTAGGCTTTTTATCCATAGCACAAACAAAAAAAAACATTTATCTGTAACAAAACCATGAAATCCTGTGTTTCCTGGGTGGGAATGAGCAGGTATCTGTGTGCAGTAGGATAATAACCCCCATCCCCCAGAACACACACACACTTCTGAGAGCTTTTCCCTTTCCTGGGTACCCCCAGGGGCTGTGCTCAGAGCTCTTCTACCTGCAGGAGCCAGCAGAGATGGGGGCAGGAGGACCAGCAGCACCCCACAACCATCAGCAGCGCCTGGAGCACATTGTGAGGAAGGCAGCGGTGCAGGACAAGGTGAGGGGCTGTGACACCCCCAGGACACTCCTGCCCCATCTCCTTCCCTACCAATTTGTGTTGTTCCTTTGTACTTCCTCTCCATTGCTTTTTTTTTTTTTTTTTTTTTTCAGTTTCTGTTAATAGAAATGCTATAAAATAGCTGACAGTTGGGCAGTCCTTGCAGAGAGAACTTAATTAGTGTTAGGGAGGGTGGAGTGGCCTTCACCCATCAGCAGCTCTGCAGCTGCCCTATGCGTGGGGATATGGGTGTCCTGCAGGGATCTGTGGGCACCTGGTGCAGCCTATGTCTGCAGAGTTGGGAGGAGTTGGGGTGCCTTCAATGCAGTCCAAAATACCCAAATCCCTTGGGGTTGCAGATTGCCCTGCTGGAACCAAGCCCTGTGCCACTGCCCCATGTCCTGGGCTGAACCTGGGCCTCTGCCTGTCAGCTAAGCAAACATTGCAGTTCATCTTTCTTTTCCTCCTGATTTTTGAATGTTGTTTGCATTTTACCAAGGCCTTCCTGCAGGATTTGCATGCAGGTCCTGCTCCATGGCTTCCTCCCACCATGGGATTTTGGATGGATCAATGAGTGAGCACAGGGGCATCGAGCAGCCTGCTCTGGGCAAGGAGAGGCTCCTGCAGCTGCAGTCTGCTTCGCTCATTTCTCTTTGCCTATTTCTCTATGTGCTCTGCACCCAGGCTCTGCCGGGCAGCCCTGACTGCTCCTTCTATTTTTTACAGCCTGAAACTGACTTCTTTGGGCGGCCGATCTCACGGCAGCAATCAGCTCCAGCCTCAGGTAAGTGGCAGAGGGATGGAGTGGCCCCTTGTACCACCCCGTAACCTGCGGTTGGCGTGGGGAACCCCCACATTGCAGGAGGGGCTGTGAGGAGGGGGTGGGTGCAGCAGCATGAAGGTGCAGTGGGGAAGGTCTTTGTCTCCATGTCCCTCTGCCCTGCAGAAGCTCAGCCCTCGGAGCGTGATGCCATCGAGAGCCAAATGGGCAAAGCTGTGGGGCGCAGTGTTGTGTGGTTCCGCTTCAACGAGGGGGTGTCCAACGCTGTGCGGAGGAACCTCTACATCAGGGACCTGCTGTAGCAGCCAGGGGGTGACAGAGGAAAGGGAGGAGCTGACTTCTCATGTGGGGGGGGAGGGATGGTGCTGAGGTATTTGTTATTTTTTTTATACCGGTGTTGTTTAAAAAATAATAAAGTATAAAAGTTAATAAAAGCAGAGCAATATGTCATGTTTATTTCATTTATAAACCCTTTGTATTGTGCCTGCTGTGCTGCAAAAAGCGTAGAGTCTCAGTATACAAAAAGAATAGTGAAAAGCACTGAGAACGTAGTATAAAAGTTTTCTCCCTTTATGAGTACAGCACTTGCTCATGGGTACAGAAGGGGTAGGACAAGGGGCAGCCCCCCCTGCCATCTCCAATGCATTCACCCTGTGTATGCCTCCCCAGCTGCCCCCTAAAAAACCAAACGCTTCTACTACTAAAATAATAAGACAAGATGAGGGTTGGGTGTTTCAGTTAGTCATATTAGGAAGCTAGCTAATAAAAAAGTGTACATTCAATGTTAATGCGCAGCACCTGCCCTCAGAGGATGCTGCACTTCCCTTTCTCCACCCAGGGGTTGTTCTTCATCAGCTCCGGGTTCAGGAAGGGGTCTTCAGGGATGCCATCCTCTATCCACTTCACAAACCTGCAGGGAGAGCAGGGCAGTCACGCAGCCTTCCTTGGTCACCCATCCCCTTCCCTCCGTGGCTCTGCCTCACACCAAAGTGGCAGTGCTCAGCTTGGTGTGTGGGAAAGCTCTGCCCATCTCAGCCCACTCACTCAGGTATCGTTTTGGAGGACATCTCCCTCTTGTAGGCCAGCTGGTACTTCAGGCTCTCCACCTCCTTCTTCCACTGGGGCAGGTCCCACTCATCCATGGCGCTGGGGCTCGGTGAGGGCTGGAAGGCAGAGTGTCCCCATGTTCCCCATCCCACCCATGGCAGACTCACAGCCCCGAGAGCTCTTGGGAAGAGTTTGGTGCCTTGGCTGGAGGTGAGGGCTGCGCTTACCTTGGTGGCACAGGGACAAGTGCCCAGTGTTACATGGAGCCTGTGGGCTCACACTAACCCTGCCCTGAGAGCTGCACTGGATTTGCCTGCAATTTGACTGCAAATAACAAACAGGCTGTCCAGGTGGGGGACATGGTCCTCCTGCTGTGGCCCTGAGTGAGGGCCAGGATGGATTTTGACCACGCACAGCCCCGGAGATGGCTTAGCCCCCACCAGTGGAGCTCTGTAGGTGTGTGGCGGGGGTGCCTTGCAGTCCCCCAGGCTGATAGATGGGGACGCAGTGTGGGATTCCCAAGTCCCAGCTTCACTCCTGGTGACACTGAGCATCACTCAGAGCATCACTCACTATGGATGTGGAGAGGGCTGGTGGGGGTATGGGTAGCACTGAACATCCTGCTGCACCGCACGGAGACTGGCCCACAGTGGGGTGGGATAGGGATACTGAGGCACAGCGTGAGCTGCGAGCACTGCCACGACTCCAGCTCCCTTCACCACCGCAGGGATGCATGGCACAAGGGAACAGCTCCTCCTGCCCATTCCCAACCGTGACCCCAGCAACGCCGGGGCTCTGCCCTCTCCACCCTCCGGCAGCCTTCAGTGATGACCAAACCGGGGCCGACCCTCCGTCCATCCCTCATCCATCCCCCATCCCAGCTCAGCCCCGCGCAGGGCACAGCTCAGCAGCTCCGTGTCTCCGCAGAGCATCCCTGGGAGAAACACTCGGCACAGCCGGGAGGAGGAGGATGAACCCAGTGCCCAGCAGCATCCCTGCTCCCCGGCCTCCCCACAGCTCTCCGGGAGCAGAACCGTCCCCATCCCCGCTCCATCCATCCCAGTGCTACGGCTCAGCCCTCCACTTACCTCGGCTGGAAGAAGTGGCAGAGGGCGCGGGGCTGCGTCTGTCCCCGCGGCTCAGCAAGCCGGGCTGGCCTCTCCTCCTGCTAGCGCTGCCCTCACTGCTGTCAGCGAGCCCAAATCCTCTGTGTAATCTATTAATGCACGGCCGGTCCAGCTGCCTCCGACACGGCAAGAGCCGGATAATGAGAGCGTCCTCCCCCCTCCGCAGCTCCCGGGGGATTTGGCTCCGCTGGAACGTGAGCACCGCGGGGATGGAGAGGCAGCGTGTTGGTACCGGGGCTGCGGAGGCCGTATTGCCGAAATGGGGCTGTTAGGGGCGGGTGGGTCCCTTGGGGACGCGTGGAGAAAAGTGGTGGGACACAGCTGCACACCAGGAGGGCTGCTCCTGTCTGCAACCCCACCAACAGCCCTTCCTGCATCCCTGCAATCACATCCCTGCCTTGATCTGATTGTGTCCCTGCCACATCCGCTCCTGCATCCAAGCTCATGTCCCTGCCCAAGCTTTCCTGGGTGCCACCAAAAGAACCCCCCCCCTCCCACTGCCACCTCCAGCCCCTCACTGTGCCTTTCCTTCATGTGCTGCCCCCAGTTTCCTTGTTTTTCCTTCTCTCCTGGTGCTGGCAGGGAGCTGGGGGGTGGGGGGGGGAAGAATGTGGTTATTAGAGAAGAAAGACAACTTCAAAAGTTGAGTGGTTGGAAACTAAATATTTGGTGAGGATGAAAGGGCCAAGCCCTGCCCCAGCCCCCTGTGGGGGCAGCATATTGTACCCACCCTGGGCTGTTTGCCCTCTACACTGCTCTGTAAGCAGGTTTTTTGCCATATGGTGCTCCAAGCACTGAGCTGAGCTCCTCCCCATCACAGCACTAACTCCTTCCCCCAGCCATGCTGGCTCTGCCCCATTCTACCCCAAAAAGCCAAACCTGGTGTTGCCACATTAAGGGGTTCCCCATGGGTTGGAGCACAGGGAGCGAATCCTCCATGCTGCCCTGAGAGCTTGGTGAAAAGGTGAAATAAAAAATATTATATGTGCAAAAACAACATCATAGGTCAACTGTGTTGCATCATCAAATATCACAAGTTAGAAGGAATACATAAGGATCATTGAAACTAAGTTGCAGTATAATAAAATAATAAACCCCTGATGCAATGCAGTGCACATATATATGTTTTACACTTTATATTTTAAATATAACTGATAAAATAAGTAATACAGCATAACATATAGAAGTAAGACATGCTAGAGATGCTTTCACCCAGGGTTGGTTGGGTATGGGTTAGGTGGGTATAGCTACTGCAAAGTCAAGAGCAAATCTTCAGAGAACGGCATTTTTTCATCCATAAAAGATTACACCATTAGCTATAGCATAATCCTCACTACGAGGACTTTACTCTTTGCTGACATCTCTATTTATATGTCTATATCTAACCTCTGTCTCAGTCCATGCAGACACTGACCCATCCCATATCTGTGGTCGCCTTCCACCCCAATCAATGGCACTGCCGTGTGCCTAATGGGCTCCTGCCGCCCTCTGCCTGCCTGGGAAAAGCCACAGGGCTGGGAAGCAGCCAGGGATCAATAGGGCTGCCTGGGGAGGGGATGCTGAGCTGGCAGCACCTCACTTGGAGGCAATGGCACCACTGCAAAGCATCCCGTGGGGTTGGGCTCTTTTGGGAACATGCTCCTATAGGACATGGGCCACCTATTAACGAGGCCAGCAATACTGCGCGCTGCCCTGCGGCTTATCTCGCTGTTGACATCAATGGTAATCTCCCAGCACTGCCTCCAAACAATTATGGGAAAGGCTGGGCTTTAGCAATAAAACGACACTGAAGACGGCTGATTGGATTTCTGCGGATTTTCTGCAATCTGACTGCAGTGGGGCCAGGCAGAGCCACCAGGAACCAGCACAGCAAATTTCAGAGCCACCAGCCTCAAGGCAACGGTGGCCCAAGGCCCATCCCCTTCTATGGACAAAGCAGCCCCGGTGCTCTTGGCAGAATTTGGGCAGTGCCACGTGCACCAAATCCCCCAGCGGGGCCACGGGGGACCTGCACAGCAGATTGCAGGGCCGCATTAGTTACCCCGCCTGGCTTTGTAGATTAAAGAATTATGAACTCCCAAAGTTTTGCAATATTAATGATTGTAGCCATCTGTTAATCTGGCAGCCAGAAACAAGCCGGGTTGTTCTTTGCTCAGTCCAGTTATTAAAACGTGGTATTTTTGGTGCGGTGGGCAGCTGGAAGAGCTGCTCCTTGGGGCTGGCCCAGCAGTGAGCCGTGTCCTGCTCTTATCACTGCTCTGGGGGCACCTAAGGGCAGTGCCAGTGCTGGTTGATGCACAGTGAAGCACACCAAGAATAGCATTTTAGGGTGAGAGACCCCAAAAGCACCAAGCTGCAGCCCCCCTCCGCCCCTGGAAGCACAGCTGCTAATTAAATCTCTCTGTGGAATGGCATTTTAGATAAATCAGTTCTCCCGTACACACTCTAAAGGGACAAACTCATTTAGCAGGTTAATTAGCGTCCTTGGCAGAAATGCTATCAGCTCTGTCCCAGCCCACGGGGCAGTGTCAATGCTGGGAAGCTTTCCTATAAAAACCCACCTGTGCCTGTGTGGTTGAGGGGCAGGTCCTCATTTTGCACTTGAAAGGATGGAGGCATAGTTCATATCTATACAGATCCAGAACAATCTCAGGCACGTTGGGATAGGCAGCACTAGTGCACCTTTAACAGAGTTGAAAGAGCTCCGTGACACACAACAGGTGGGCTTTTTCCCATCACCCCAAAAAGTCCCCATTCATCCCACAGCCACTTAGTTCATTAGCTATGCATCTCAAAACCACCCAGTGATGCACAAACTCTAACTCAGTCTGCTCATCACAGCCAGGCACTCCTGGTCCACACACACATTACCTTCCTGGGTGGGACAACAGCATTCCTATACCACACTTCCAGAATCTCACTTTCAGCTTAAATCTTATTGTCAATACATGCATCCACTTGCAAATGTTCCATTTACTGTTTGGCACACACTTGCAAAAACAGCAGAGTTTTGTTTGCTAAATACAATATCTGGATTAGACAGCTGTAGATGCACATTTTCTACTTCAAACTACGTCCTTTAATTTTTAATGAGTTCTTCTCTTCTCTTATTATACTTGGAGCAAAGCAGAAAAAAAAAAAAATAAGAAAGATCAGCCTTCAATTTACCTTTGGGGTTACACTCGCTGTAGTCTCAGGGCACCAGCATGATGTTTTCTGCTGTGGCTGATGAAGCATGGGGTTGGATAGGCAGGGACAGGTATCATAAAGCCAAGTGCTAAGTTTTAGAGAACATCATTTTCTCATACATAAAAGATCATATCACTATCTATAGTATAATCCTCACTATAAGGGGCTTTACTCGTTGCTGCTATAATTCATTAAAATTCAGCAGCAGATAAATAATGAATAGACATGCTATTTACTTACTGCAACACAAGCAGTTCTTGCATTTCCCCGTGATGGTAAATCCAAACCAAATGGTAACAGAGCACAGTGCCCTCAATTGCTCCCAGCTCCATGCTGGGCACCCAGGAGGATGGCACCAAGGAGTCCATGCAGCTCAATACACAGTGAAAAATCCAACCCAACAACAAAACCCTAGACCAGAAAATGACCAGCCCGGTGCTTTGAATAATAATGTGAAGAAAATGCTACAAAGTTTTATTACATCTTTTTTTTATTAAACTTCTTTTCCTTTTAGATGCATGTACACTTTTTGTAGAAAAGTTCAACAATAACTTAACTGAATTTGGATAACAAAATACAGTTTATATCAACATGTTCATAAGTCTCACCCTGCCTTCCAAACCACAGCACACACGTATCACGTTGGGGCAAAGAAGAGCACAACTGGGCAAGAAATACTTCTCTATTTCTACCTCCACAATTCCCAAAAAAGTCAGCTCTTACTATTATAATAATACTTCAAATAACAAAGAGCCTTCAGCACCAGTTTAAGTCAGCCATTTCAAAATGTTTAAAAAAAAAAAAGCCTACAATTGGAATGCCTTGAAAAATATATTTTTTTATATACAAACAAAACAAGCTACTGTTTTCTTGATTCTGACTTCTTAGAGTGAGTAAAAAGGCTTGAGGCCAAGCAACACTAACTGAAAAGTGGCTTATTTTTATAATTATACACTATACAAAAACAAGGAGTGCAAACAGCATCCAATTTACACTGCTGTACACCTTTGGAGAGGCAGTTTTCCTAATTTAAGCAGCTTGTCTAACTGCTTTCTCAGCAGTTCTTCTGCTGGCTTTTCACTCAGAAAACACCTGTGCAACTCATAAGCAAAAGACTTTTGATGCTTTCCACTTTGTTTCCTCTCCCCTCGTTCCTCTTGCCACTGCTGTCTCTGATGAGCATTTCTCTACAGACCAGCTTTTCTTAAGATGTGTAGCTCCTGTCTCTTTAAATGACAGCTTAATACTTGTGCCTGTAAAAAGGAAGCTTCCAGAACACACCTACCAGGATAAGATGCTGTTCGCCATCTAGATCTGAGATTTTATTACCACACTTGGTCTGAAGTCAGTTTTTAGGTGAACATTTCAAGCGAGGGAAGAGATGACAACCAGAACAACACACAAGAGACTCCAGGAAGAGATGTGTTGGATTGAGGCAAGTTGAAAAATACACTTGAAAATTTGGCCAGATCACAATTTTTCAAGAACATCCATGAACTTTGAGACTTCGTGATGAGTTGTGGCACCAAGGGGCAGGTGCATCAACCGCTGAGCAGAGGAGGAAAGAAAAGGTTAATACACATCAGTAATTTGTCATTTTTACAATAAACGATACTGCTAAATAATTATTTCAAATATTTATCAATTAACCATCACGTATCAAATCATCTCATATCAATATATTTCTCAAAATTGATGTATTTGTCATTTACTCACTTTTTTGCTTAGCTCTAGAACACAGGGATACTTACTGCATTGTGAAAGAAGTTGTAAAGGTGCTTTGCCCATGGACATCTGAAAAACAGATAGACAGTTCTCAACCCATTTTCTTATAGGGACAAATCTGCTCCCAGTTTCAGCCACCCCAACTACTCCATTCAGATTCCAAATACAAACAAAGGCAGACCATAATAAAAAGGATCCAATCAGATCCTGTCCTTGAATGCTGCTAGATGCAAAAAAGCATTTATTAGAGTTGCAAATTTGTTCAGTAGAACTCAACTCATAGAACTGAGCAAGATCAGGAATTTTATTTTCTGAAATACATACAACAAAAGCTGAAGAGAAGAGAAACAGAAACATTTTCCAAGGAAGGTTAACTCACATGTCCATGTTTTCTACTTAAGGCAGTTACAAAGAAGTGAGTTCTCTGCTGCTACCTGCTGCGTGTGAACTAAAAGTGCCAGAGCAGGCAATTACTGCCTTCTGGTATATAATCCTTGAATCACTGCATTTTAAGACTATTTTGTCAATATATTTGTGTCTATTACTTTACAGTGTATGATCCTTCACAGCCTGTAAGAGAAGGGAGCAAGGATTGTACTTCGGATCAGCCAGCAGTCTGAAGTGACGCATCAGAATCACAAATCTCCAAAGTTGGAAAAGACCTCCAAGATCATCCAACCAGTGTGTTACTACCATTGGTGACCTAAATACTGTACTCAGATCTTTTCAGAACTCCATTTTCTGCTTTGTGCTGCTGTAATGCAAGTGGTCCCCCCTGACAAGCACAGCCTTAGCCACGTCCTCAGTTCGCATTAGTGCACAGATGTTCCTGAATCTTCAGTTTAACGTGGGGATCTACCTTCTTACCACCATGTGAAGCATTTCTTACAAGTTTAAAGGAAGTATTACCATCAGTATACCCAGTGTACTCTGATAAGTACACAACAATATAAACAACACTTTGTGCTTTTCATAACACAAGACTCCGGGAAGTCAGAAGGCCATTTGGTTGATCAGGAACACAGAGCAATTGCAAATCTACTCAACTCATCACATTTGATATCTTTACTGTTGCTTATAATAAGGAAGTACATGAAATAGGAGTGAATTGTGAGTGAAGCTTATTAATTAAGAAGGAAACTACTAGCACTGTTGCAACATATAGTGATTGATTATCTGGCTACGATAAAGATTAACACTTACACGTGCAAGTTCTCTGTAATTATATCCAGAGCCAACACACCAATGGACTGCAGTATCCTGTTTCTACAAGTCAGGAACAGGCAAACAAATTCACCCACGTACTGGGGACCAAGGTTTTGCCATCTAAGCAATATAAACCAGAAAACAGAAAGCATCAGTTCAGTAGCAGAGACAAACGGCAATATTTGTGTTGCTTCTCTCCTGTTGCCACTTTCTCATTCTCCAGTCTGCTCTAGAAGTAGGGGCATTTAATTATAGGAATTCAGATTCACAGTCTCCCCTCTGATTAGACAGCCATAGCAATGCCATGATCACATATTCTTCAGATTACCACAGTTATTTCAGACGTACCCAGCCAATAATGCATTACTGCATAAGAAATACTAGGGCCTCACAGCTATGTGAATACAGAACTGAGTCAGATCAGTGGCCCCATCCAGGTTAGTGTCCTGGTGACAAGTATATTTGTTTTGGTCTTCTGCAAATGAGACATATGAAGGGAGATGCCCTATATGCCCTCTGTCTGAAGGAATGGTTGCTGAGGAACAGCGTTAGCTCATATAGACCTGAAGGAAATCATTTTCTAGATACGCTCATCTTCAAGAGCTCTTCAGCCTCCTCAGGGCTGGAGTGCTGTTTTTATGCTAACTGTACTTTACAATCTTCCAGCAATGTGCCTGCTTTTCAACCTATATACCTTTCATTTTCACAGCATTCCCTGTCAACCAAATTCACAGCTCCAAGTAATACAACCTTAATCCAGCTTGGTTTTTGCCACTTTAGATTTCCTTTAAGGCTCCTGACTCCTGTTTAAGAGTAAACCATGAACAATTATTCCTTGGTCACCATCAGCACATCATGTGTGATTTTGCAGACCACTGCCATAGCCCCAGGCTCGGATGCCCAAGCCATGTCAAACAATTCCTCTCACAGAGGTCAATCCATATCTCAAGAACCACCACCAGAATCACACACAGTATTAGAATATTTACATAAATGATGCACCTGCTTTTTCCCCCCCCCTCCCCTCCTATTACTTTCTTATTGACTCCTAGCATTTTCTTCACATTATTATTCAAAGCACCAGGCTGGTCATTTTCAAAGAGCTAAAGACTGTATCTTTATCATGTTCCTGCTGTAAGCCTGCTGTTAATGTTTCCAGAAACAGGCAGATTTCAGGAAGTGTTTACTCACAGTTTCAGCATTGTTGCTTTCTGACGATTCAGATCTCTCAAAACCAGATCGACAACGCCATGGAGAATGTGTTCATCATAGGAAAGATGATTCAGTAACAGCCTCAGAGCCCAGAAGTTATTCTAGGAAGAGACAAAATAAGGCCACTAATTCAACTTAATTCTCAATTATTTCTTAAACAAAACAAACCCTAAAAATAACAAAAGATATTAAAGGCCAATAAAGCTTCAGAGGAACAAAACTAGGCTAAATGCACGCAAAAATCTCCAAGTAGGCGTTACATTCATTTTAAATATAATCCACTTTAATCTCTTCAAACAGAAGTCAATCTCTAGGACTCACCCCAAATGCCAGGAATATCTCTAGGAAGGAAGTTAAGTATGGGAGTTCACAGATAACCATCTGTTGTACTGCTTGCACTGCAAGAATAAGACAAGCCTCCTGGTGCAACTGCAGGAAGAGATATAAAAAAAGAAGAGATTGATATTTAAAAGTCCCCTTTCCCACTACTTGTATATTGCCTCCAGTCCAATCAGCAGTAAGTTACTACCACTCCAATCACATCTGCTGGATGACAGATACTACATTCAGAAGAATCTTATGAAGACTGAAGGAAAGGTGAATAGAACAGATACTTTTACCTATATAGGGTGTTTCATGTGAGGATCTCAAAAGTCCCACCTAGAAACACGAGGTCTCTCACCAGACAGAAGCAGAAGAATTAATGAGACAAAATGTCTGGCCCAGGAGTAGTAAAGCTAAATGTAGCCCACAAAAGAATTAGGAAGAGAATAAAATTGCTCCTTAGATAGGTGATTATATTTAACAAACTATTTGTTTCAAGACCCCTTTAAACATGCTCCATTACACCTGAAACCATCATTCACAACAAACTGAGAAATTCCAGGCTATTCTGAATTTTGAGACACACTATCAGTCCCAAAGGACAGCCTCCTATCTGAACCAAATACAAGACTACTCTGGAAAGTTAATACAGACTCACTGATTACTAACCATCCCACTTTAGGGGATACATAAATTTGGACAGTGATGAATTAAAACTTTTGGATGGATTGCAGATAGTGCCAGTTCTGAATACAAAAAATAAAAACAGTCAGGGTCTGTTCAGGTAACAACTCTAACCTTTAGATTTTTCCAAGGCCAATCCTATGCCACTTCCCCCAAAACTTCAAACCTCATCTCAGAAGCTCTTTATGATAATCTAATTGTTTTCAATACTGCAGTACCTTCAAGCATCTTGCAATAAAACAGTCAGTTCCCTTGTTGACAGGTGCACGCTTACCTGGGAGAAAATACCAGGTGGGAATGAAACATTAAGTTTTGCCTTCAATTCCTGGAAGAGACCATCACTGGCAACCAGCACCCCCTGCAACAGAAGTAATGAGTCGTGAAGAAGGGAAAGGGTGCCTTCACACGTATCAAACTACGCCCAACATTTAATCTACTACTTCAGTGTGCTTTTAATTACTTTTCAGTGTTTTTACAAATGAGGTTGATTGTTCGTTGTACTCAGAAAGCTGAATCTCTACAGCACTAACTAAACAACGACATATAACCTCTTAATTTTAATCCACTGTGCTTAGCAGACATTTATTTCTGTTCTTGTGAAAAAAATATCCAGGCACTGTCTCTTAGAGCTATTTTAACACATTTAAATTTCTTTCCTATGCATTTTGCTGTTACATGATTCATCTCAATATTAAACAATACAGAATAGGTATCTGGCACTTAGCTGCAAGCAGAGTTAATCTATTCGTTGTTGCATTTATCACTCACAAATAACAACTTCTTGTCAAGTATTACACTGGCACATACCAGAAGAATTTTTGATGAGGTAAAGTTAACCTTAATATTTAAATGAACAAGCCAACGTTCACATGGGATGAAGCATTGTATAAAACCATACAACAGATTCTTCCATCTCAGAGCACAGGACCAGTTACCTGTTGGAATGCAACTGGGGGCTCTTTCACTGTCAGAGGACAAAGGCGCCCATTTCTTTCCAGAAAACAGCTACTACCCATAATCATGATGAAGGAACCCCAGCATTTAGGCTGAAATACAACAGAAAATTTGTTTTACGGGATCAAATACGTCTTTAGCAACTTTTAATGATCAAAATAAGTCTCCTTGATATGCATTCTCTTTCTTCTACCCGCCTCTAACAGAACTCCCAGACATGTCTACACTCAAATTACAGGTTAATGTTTGGGGTTTCCCAGTTTGATCTGTCATGTTGAGAAACAGCCATTTTGCCTCACCTGTAAAGACGAGGCTTTTTTCCACCTATTTTAATTCTATGGAACATGAACAGAAAGAACAGACCTGCTGCTGGTGTAATCATTGCAGCCCCACTGAAAAAATTACACTAGCACAACTTAACAGGGAAAATTTCTCCCTAACAGCTGAGTGGTAAGAACATAATTCAACATATATATATGGCAAATTTTCTCATCATTCCATCATTGCTATGGCACACTGCTACATTCACTGAAGCTGCAAGAGCTGCATACAAGCAGTATTTGTCACAATTTTATCAGTAAAGCTCCAGCTGAGTCAATGGATCGCTTACAACTTGACACGTTTTGTGAGAGCACAGAAATGCTATCTGAGAAAAACGTTTGCAGACTTACTTCCACCACACCCCCAAACAAATCCACCAGAATACAAAAGCTTCACAGAGGTGTGAACTACTCAGAGGATTCTGGCAGTAAATCCTTTCATTAGATAAGCAACTGGACAAAGCAGGTAAGGTACAGAACCACTAAAGAGGCCACATAAATAGTTCTAATACGGACTCACATTTCTGTACAGTGACAGATTGCTGTAAAGGAGTTTGAATGCCTGCCTAATCAGAACACCATCTTTCATTGGAGACCCTGTCAGAAGAAAAAAATTAAAGATGCATCTTTTACTCCTTGAACAATCATAGAATATGAACAAACTCAAAATATTATTAAAGGCATACTCCTACAGAAACCTAGAGGAAAAACAAGTATCTACAGCTATTTTACTATATTTTACAGCAGTTTTTCCTATTCAGAACCTCCATCAACTGAAATGCTATTCTGGAATGCTGTAAAAAAAAAAAAACAAACAAAAACAACTGAATACAGTTTAGACTAAGCCATCACAGCAGGTGACCCATAACAAAGTCTTATTATGCAAATCAGACTACAGTATCCCATACTTCTAAGAACTCTAATAACTGAACATCTCCAAAAATCAATCTTCCACTTCAGAGTGCATTTGACAAGTAGATCAGAGGTTGGTGGCCCTGCCTGTGGCAGGGAGTTTGAAACTTGCTGATCCTTGGGGTCCCTTCCAACCCAAGCCATTCTATGATTCTATATACAGGTCACGAGACCCCTTCCATCAGAAAACTTTCATTCTTGAGATATAATACATCACAAAGCTAAGTTATGTACTGCCATTTATAATGCTAGGATATAATAGGGAGCTTTTTGTTTTCTTTTAATGGGTTGTTCTCAGCAAAACAACTTCACAACTGACAAAAGGTAACGTTCTCTGTGAAATGTACTACACACATTTATGCTCAAATATAAAGACACTCTACCTGCTTAATGATCTGCACTATGCTTTAGTCCAGACAATTTATACTTGGATTCAGAGTCCCCCCCCAAACATTTCTGAATTTAAAGAGCTGCAATTAAATAAGATCCTAAACATATAAGAGGAAAAAAAAATAAAAAGAAATCACTTGCCAACTGTAACCCATGGCCCAGGGTCCTGAATATCCTTTCCAGCAGGGACACTGCCTGTTTTGAATATCTTCAGGTAGACCTCAAACTGAAGAGGAGTTAGTCGGCACGCAGTGCAGCACGCAAGGCTATTGATGGGAAACAACAGTGAATGTGTAGCATCAATGAAGTCTCCAGTTTTACACAAATAGAATGGGATTTTATCTCGAAGGTCTCTTAGCCTGGAAAGAAGAAATAAATGAGTACTTGATTTCTGTTTGTGCAGAAGCTTTACAACATGTATGCATACACCCAGTTAAGTCTGACAACTAATAAGTTACATCCAATAAGGCAGAATTGAGCTGCAGTGCTGTATTACTTTCACTTGGCAAACAGCTTTCAAAATCCTACTGCCTTTCATTCTGTTTTATTAGATGTAGAAAAAGAGACTGGGACACAGTTTGAGGGCAATGAAACAAACAAAAGCTATTTACCCTTTGGTGTCATTGCATTTCACAGCTCTCAGGTAGCGAACAACTTCTTTATAGCTGGAGAAAAAGAAAGAGTGGAAGAGAAAGGAAGTGTTAAGCTCTATACAACAGGTCAATCCAATTACTACAGTTAATGAAGCAAAACAGTAGTTCTCCTCACATAAAAGCACTGTAAAACAGGACAGTACAACTGGCAGAAAGAGACTGCTGAAAGCTTCAAATGCCACTTCTGAATACAGCAGATATCTAAATTAATCTGCAGATCATCTCTGTGCACTAAAAACAAACAATAGCAGGCTAAGAAAAGACAAGTCTATAAGAGGACTAAGATCACTTTTTAGTTTTAAAACTGTCCTCCAAATAGTCAGCATTTGATGAACTGATTTTGTTTTTAACATTGAATTCCAAAAGCTACCGAGATTACTGAAACAAAACAATGACCGGATTCTACTAGCTTCAAAGAGTACTGGTCTTGCTAATAAGTAATGGCAATAAACAGCTTCAAATATATCCTCTTCTGTATATTTCCCCATAATGCAAAATTCTTGCAGACGCTAGGAAAGCACGGTATGGCAATTAGTAGCATTAACAAATAAAAAAGTTGGGTTTATGAAAACGGAACAAACAGAGCAAGACCAAACCAATCATACTTTGTATTTTCTACCAGTTTCTCCACTCGAGCCTCTATGACAGGAAGCACTTCCCACAGAAACGTTTTCCTTCCCTTCTGGGTCCTTTGCCCTGTGGTGTTCTGCCCTTTCAAAACCGTGGTCAATAACACATGATCCCATGGCACAACATTCAGGCTGGAAACACAAGAATGAAGAAATGCTAAGGACTCTGTTGGTATGCTACAATGTGTTTCACACAAAGACTTATTAATAAAACATTCTGAAGTTTACAGTTCAATTTCAGGGAAAGAAAATGAAAGGATTTATACAAACAAGAGCTTAGCCATAACATCAGTTTCTCACTGTGCTAAGGATTGGATATAAAGAAGAGAATACTGAAGCCTTCCAATAAAGCACACACCTTCAGCGCAATCAGTGAAAGAACCATTCCCTAAGTCAGTTTACAAATCAGCCAATGGTATAAAAATAGATTCCATAAACAAAGAACATACCTATTTGAGAAGGCAAAACAGTGACATGGAAGTGAGATGGACTGAAAAAAATTAACAAATTTCTCGTATAAACTTTTTGGGAAGTCACACAACACCAGCATCTTCTGAAGTCGTGTTGTGATCCTGTGTTTTAAAAAGAAAAGCAAAAGCAAAAATAAAAATCTGCTACCTTTAAGTGAAATAATATTTAGATTTTTAAGAAAATCCTGTGCAAAACTGCTCCTCAGAGATTATATATAGATTTCTTTAGTTGAGCTTCAGAGAGTCTGGGTCTATCTTCAAGTTTGTGCTTTAATATTTGTAACCAATATGGATATTGCCTCTATGTTATTATTCTGATATTTCATTATCAATGAAACCATGCATTCTGTGGTCTCAGGTTTTAAAGAAGATCCCCTCTAAGTACGTGAGAAACACTGAAGCAACACACTGTGAGCTCAATAAGGAAGCTGACTGACCCAAGTCAGTGAAATCATTTTTGTCTTAACTGAAAACTGGAGAGAACACACTAAGGTAAAGAAGAGCTCAATTATTTTGAAACTGGGGGGAAAGGCAAAAAAAAAATATATATACTTTACTGTTCTTTTAAAGTAAAAAATTAATAAATTCAAGAATAGTCATTTAAAATGAAAACTGATACAGGATTTAGGTTATACCTGTCACAGAGGTGAGAACATTAATTGTTTTTGAGTGTTCCTAAAAAAAAAGTTAATTCTTAATTCATTAACCTTCTGTTGCAAGTGAATTTCAGGTTAAAGGTGAAAAGCTAAAATGAGAAATGAATTAAGCCAAGTGAGCTGGATGTCCTCATTCATTATCCTCTGGGGGAACTTCACTATGTTACATCCCTGACTACTCCATCCCAGAGGAGGACTACAAGACTGCTGTTTTGACTCTGAACAGGTGCTACTTATTGTTAGGCTTACTAACCACAAGTAGCCACCCAACACCATCTTCTGGTCCGGCCTAGAAGAACACTCCTAGACTCAAAGTACTCCATCATCCTGCCTTTGAGTTCCCTCCCCATTGTGGGAGGGTTGACTGCTTATGTGGCTGTAAAACAAGGCAGACGTGGCTCTTGTCCTTCACAAAAAGGGAGTAATACACAACAGAGCTGCTAAACAATCTAGCTGTACTATCTGTAAAACAGCTATAGAATATGATAGTTTGCTGAGGTCTCTGCTTACCAAGCTGACTGGTAAACACTGTTGTTTATAACCTTGTCCGTCCTTACCCACTCACAGCCCACGCATGCAGGCAGCTGGCTCTCCCTGCTCTGCTCAAACAGAGCCTAGTAGAATACAGCAAGGTCCTACTGCCTGATGCTACAGAACAAATGGAGTAAATACACTTATTTTAGAGCTCTGCAAGTTTACTTTTGTTTTTTAAGAGCTAAAACATTCATTTTTCCTTTATGCCTTTGAATAGAAGCCCTTTTAAGTGTGCTTCAAGTGTAGTCACAAAGTTTGCATCCGGCAACCATCTCTTACTATTATGTAATAAGCCAAGTCTTACCTCTGCAACAAACAAGGGACAGCAAGCTTTAGTGAAGCAGTATGACCAAGGTTCTGCCAGCTTCTGTGGGGGAGCAGGAGAAAGCAAAGTGGTACGTTTTATTTCCCTCTGAGAAGCAAATAAAGATTATACACTAACTATGGAACTGGATACTCACAAAGCAGGGTCTTTATGAAGGGTTATCTCTCTAGCTGCTCCCAGAAACATGACAGCACAAGCTTTAGGACTCTCTCTTTCAGCCTGATTTAAAAATCTTGTTACCAGTGCATAAACTCCAGAATACCTGAGAAAGTTAAGTAGTCCATAAGATAAAGCATCTGCAGTGACATACTTCATAAGATGTAAGGGGTCCATAACACTGCTTGGTTTTGCTAACTCAAAAGGAATTCGCAAACAGCATCACTTAGTTTAACCTTTGCTAACTCAGAAGGAATTGCTTAGTTTAACTTTTGCTAGCCCAAACACACTCCCAAAAAGGAAGCCTTCTCAAGTCAGCAGAAAGGGGCCAATGAGAGAACAATGGAAAGAAATTGCAGGGGCACGCAGGATGGGAGAAGAGCTCAAAACTGGGACAAAGGTCAGAAGGACATGGCGAAGAAGACTACTGACTTCATCCAGGGACGACCACCAGGTGGGGAGGAAGACATTGAGTCTTCATCCAATGACCACCAGAGGAAGCTACTGTGTGTGCACTAGGGGGAGGGACAGTATGTAAGTGAATTCCTGGAAAAGTAATGAATACGTCAATAGATCTTGGGAAATACTGCTGAATACGTATGAGCTGGGCTTATAAAAGTATTGAGATCCCACTCTGTGGTGTGCAAGCTAGGAGGAGCTCCCCCTTGTACCCAGCGCGTGGTGCAGCGCTGAAATAAAAATGTATCTGCTCTGATAACCTTACGTGGGTTAGAGACTTTGATTCTGCAAATCACTGGTTTGAAAGTAAACTGATTCACCTTTCCCCGAAAAGAATCTGTGAAACAGGAACATGGTGTGTGCTCTTAAAATTCTGAAAGTAATGCCTGTGCAAATGCCATCAAGTAAAAGCCAAACTCAATTCTAACAAATCAGTAAAAACACGAGGGTTTGTTTCATGCTTTTCCAAGTTGTTATAACCAGGAATACTACCATCTTAGCATAGCACAACAGGTATCTTTTAAGATGTGCTTAAGACGATTCTTAAAATATATCCAAGTTAAATTCAGTTTAATTGCTTACAGATCAATTAAGATCCCTCTATTACATTGCTACCATTTCACAAAACTACTAATGTTACTTAAGGAAAGAAAACCTGCAGCGACCAACACATACTGCTAATTCTGTCATCACTTACTTGTATACAATCTCTGTGCTGCGTGATCTGCAGATACCACACTGACCAGGAGGCAGCTTTGGGACACAAAAGCACTCGTGCTCTGTGGGAGCTATTCTCGCTCCAATTAAATACTTATTATATTCCACAGAAAGTTCCTGGATAAAACTTATTAGAAGGTTTCCTAAGAGGACAGAGAGGCGGAGATGTGAAACTTTTAGTGCAAAAAATTATTTCAAAACTAAAATAAAGACATTCATAGATACCCTATGTAAAATATTTGATAAATCACTTGCACCCAATCTTAACAGCCAGGCATGATTTGTTGCTTCTTCCAAGGGGAAGAAAGCAGGACACACAAGCCTGGAACCGCAGATCTGTCTGGACTGAGTACGGCCCAGACGGAGGACAGCAGAAGCGAGCTGCTATCTAAATAACTCACCAAGTCTTTACAAGGACAGTTGTGGTCCAGACAAGCTGTCCTTGTAGATTACAAGTAGAGCCACAGACTGAGTAGCCACAGTGAGCCAAAGGTCTGCCAGGACAGAATGAGAACACTGTGCTTACCACCATGCCGAAGGTCTGCGTCTATATCTGTGAGCTCCAAATTGAACATTACAAGAACACCAGCCAAGGCAAAATCACGTTGCTCTTTCCAGAATTTGCTTTTGTTATGTGCATTGCAGTGACAGAGGGAAGAAGTTGTCCAATTCTGGCACTGTTTCGTAATAAGTGAAAGACAGAGAAAATCATTTTATTGTCCCCTAAGTTAAGCAAATCAAAAGTTAGTTCCTCTCTATAAGTGAAGGACTAGAATTCATTTTATGTCTTGCTTCTGTGGTTTTGCCTAGCTTTGTAATTTGACAGGTGAGGCAAGAGGACAACGTGGCAATGCTTTTCTACCATAACTTAAAAAGAACAATGATAATAAAAGAGACTTCCTCCTCCCCCCCCCCAATAATTTACTCTAATTCCTGAATACTTATGGAGACAGGTTGACATCTTCCTCACAGAATATACTATGAGATATCAAAGCATTGTTTCTGAACATTCACCCCAACTTTGCAAACAGTTCAAAGTTTTCTGAATTCTACAAAAAACCCCACAACCTCCAATCAAACAATGAAGCAAGCAATCTTCCCCTCCTCCTCAAAGCAAAAACCAAAACCCATCAACCAACACATCACTCCCCACACCTCATCCCTCCCCTACTTAGGGTGAAGAAAAACTAAAAATTCAATATATGTCTAGTGCAGTGAGAAACAACCTGATCTAGTAATTGCATTCCATGAAGCCCCATGCAAACAGGATGAACATATGTTTGTATCAAGTGAATATCCATTCCTACAATACTGGACTACTGGAAATAAACCTAGATGGTGACCATACTTTACTTAACACAGTGAAGCTGATGGATAGCAACATTTAGAGTAGGAACTATTTAAATAATCAAACTCTACATAGCATTTATTATTTCAGTGTGCATAAGAGTGATTTCTTTTATAGATTGCTAAAGAATTCAGTTTACTCAAATTTGAGCATTTCTTGATTACAGCTCTTCCTTACCTCAGAAGCCAGCTTATCACAAATGTAGCAGTAGCACTGATTACAGAAATCAGCATTTTTTCCAAGGGGTGAGCATGTTTCACATTCCATTCGTCTACAGAATTGAAAAACAGAACATTATTTACAAAGCAGTTCGTGCATTTATCCAACTCTACTTACATTTTCAGCTGTTAGAGTTTTAACAAGCCTACATGACAAGGTTGAGTATATGTGGGAAAGGAAACCTCCATATTAGCCTCCACATCATTGAACGTACTCAAATGAGTGTATTGTACAGTCATATCTTGCATGGGGCATCACATTTGCTTGTTTACAGAAAGTAACCACTAGTTCACACTCCTCATCCACAATCTCTTCACATTTCTTCTCTTCCAAGGCAGTCTTCACTGTATAGAAGAGAAAACAGTCTGACTTAGTATGAAAAGCCAACAGTGTCATTACAAAATCAACCAGCTATTGATACTTATTCTTTAAAACTTTAAGGCACAAGCTTTCTTATTATTTCATCTGGAGCAAATAATGAAGGTACATTGGCTTGGAACAAAAGATTCCTACACAGTCAGAAGACAGGTAATAATAAATAAAGATCTGATCACCACTGAAAATGGTTCAGAGAAGTTACTGATATTTTAAAACTATACAGTAGTACTCTTTAAAACAACCAACGATGGCAAAGAAATGTTATGAGACAATGGCAGTTCGTTTGGTTTTTATTTATTTTTGAATTGTTTTGATTTCCTTGCAGCCCAAAGCTACATGACACAAAAGTGTCATATCTCATATTTTACTTCAGTTTGTTTTAAAAGTTAATTTGCAGCACCTCATAGCTGAGAAGAGCACAGCACTCACCCAAGGGGTCTACTATGAGAACTGAATTCCCATGTGTGCTGTCATCTTCATCGTCGCTGATCAGGATCACGTCTCGCTCTCTCTCTCCTTCAGAGGGCCCCATACTCACTGAACTCCAAAGGAAAGGCCCAGTTTAGCAGAAAACACCTCAGAAAAAGCAGGAAAGGTAGAAAAGGACTCTTCCAAACCCAAGCTCTGGGTACATCACACCACGAATAGCAACGTTCAACACTTCACTGGAATCAGAAGCTCAAACAACATCCCGTTTTCCATCCACGTTTGAGAGAACGCTAAAAAAAAAAAAAAAAAAAAAAAAAAGGGTGAGACCCGGCATTCATCTGCTGGGCCCACCGTATTTCACTGCAGTTATTTCCCCTCGCAGACCCGCAGCAGCACCGCAGCCGCCCCTCCTCTCCCCGCCCCAAACGCTCCCGACCTCCCCCAGCCCCCCGCCCGCTTCGGCCCTCCCTCAACCGCCGCCCCCCAGCTGAACGCTGCGCTCCCACAGGAACCCCCCGCCCCATCACCCCGCTGACCCCTCACCGCCCCGATTCTCGCCCGTTCCCCACAAGGCCCGAGGACCCCCCAGGACTCCCCAGGACCCCCGGGTTACCCTCAGCACGCATCTGTGTCCTGCCCGCCGCCCCAGCCCGCCACTCTTTGAACAAATAATCACTTCCGAAGCGGTGCCCCCCGGAAGGGGTTCGGGCGGTGACGCTACGCGCGCTACTTCCGCCCTGGCAGCGAGCTGGAGGGTCGCTGGGGGCCGCCACCTTTGATGAGGGCAAAATGGGGCGGGGCTGTGGGGAGCCGCCATCATTGGTGAAGGCAGGGCGAGGTGGTGTCGTAGGGAGGCCGCCATCTTTGATAAGGGCAGAGCGGGTGGTTTCTATGCCTATTGGGTTTCTGGCTCCTCCTGCTTGTGTAGATAAATGATGGAATCATTGAGGTTGTAAAGATGTGTGAGATCCCCAAGTTCAACTCATCTCAACATGCCTGCTGACCACGTCCCTCAGTGCAACTCCTCCACAGTTTTTAACACCTCTAGGAATGGTGACTCCCACCGCTCCCTGGACAGCAATGCCAGTGCCCGACTGCTCTTTCAGAGAATATGAGATAGTAAGCTGGAGAATGCAAGATGTAAGGGGTCCATAACACTGCTTGGTTTTGCTAACTCAAAAGGAATTTGCAGATAGCATCGCTTAGTTTAACTTTTGCTAACTCAGAAGGAATTGCTTAGTTTAACTTTTGCTAGCCCAAACACACTCCCAAAAAGGAAGCCTTCTCAAGTCAGCAGAAAGGGGCCAATGAGAGAACAATGGAAAGGGGAACAAACAGGGTAAGAAATTGCAGAGGCATGCAGGGTGGGAGAAGAGCTCAAAACTGGGGCAAAAGTCGGAAGGACATGGCAAGGAAGACTACTGACTTCATCCAGGGACGACCACCAGGTGGGGAGGAAGACGTTGAGCCTTCATCCAATGACCACCAGAGGAAGCTACTGTGTGTGCACTAGGGGGAGGGACAGTATGTAAGTGAATTCCTGGAAAAGTAATGAATACGTCAATAGATCTTGGGAAATACTGCTGAATACGTATGAGCTGGGCTTATAAAAGTATTGAGATCCCACTCTGTAGTGTGCAAGCTGGGAGGAGCTCCCCCTTGTACCCAGCGTGTGGTGCAGCGCTGAAATAAAAATGTATCTGCTCTGATAACCTTACGTGGGTTAGAGAGTTTGATTCTGCAAATCAAATAAATGTTTCCTATTATCCAATCTGAAATCCTCCACCCTTTGCATAAAGGAAGGGAAATTGGCATCAGAGCAGGGTGTGCTCTTGCTAGTTCTCTTGGTGTGCTGCAGAAGGGGTGGGGAGGTCTTGGTGGTCCTCTGGGGACGTGTCCCCCTACTCACTGTGACTGTGTTTGGGCACAGGTTTTCTGAGGACACCTCTTTTCCACCTTGTTTCCACTGCTTGGTTACTGTTTTGGACTCACTGCTATTTCAAGGATGTTGCTTTTATTATAGAAGCCTTGTGGTCAGGAAGGATATTTATCATATATAAGTAATACATCTGGAAGTTATAAGCAGAACTATAACTTTGAGCAAGCTCCTTAATTAGGCACCATGGCAAATATTCAGGGATATTGCTCTTATTGTAACATAGATAAGCAGCACATCTGGAAGTTATAAACAGAACTGCAACTCTGAGCAAAAATGGCAAACAGTTCTGAGACAACACAGGTGATGATCTGCGTGCAATTCCAGCAATGTGACCCTAAACACTTCCATTGCAGCCAGGCCCAGCCACTGTGGCCATCACCCAGATGGCAGCTGCTCACAGAGAAAGGATTTTACTGCATTTGGTTGTCCCTAATCACCAGACCGATCACAACAGGCTTTTCCTACCGCAAACCCATCAGGCGATCAGTGAGGAAAGCCCACATCCAGCAGATGTTCAGGATTTCCCAGTAACACTAGATGGTACCAGAGCTCCACGCTGAGGCTCAGGCATGCTTCACCCGTCTGAACTGAAAATACTCCAAAAATGGAAATTCTGAAACATGGAAAGCTGAAGATGTAAAGCTGTAATATATTAATAAGTTGTTGGCAAAACAGTCACCTCTTCTGTGGGAAGGAGTAGACAGGGGAATTATGAGTAAAATAAGCACGCTTTTCTGGTTTTCAGGACAAGTGTAATACAGTAATTTTGGTTAAAGCTTATCAGCAAGGTGAAGCTATCACAGGAGCTGGTAGGAAAGCATTTGAAGACTAACACTCGAGGAATGGGCATCTTTCAATTCTAGTAGTTACTTCATAGTTTGAGGATTATCTAGCAAGTATTTTAGTTCAAGCAGAGACTGCCACTAAGTGATAAAAATGTGATGTAAATACATTTCTTGTGTTGGTAATAATAAAAACTACTGAAACAACACTTGGAATATGATCACCTTTTTGTGCAATTGGCTGCACACGTTTTTTGCTACGTGCTGCCTGAAATATTCATGTGTTAAAAAAATCCCTTCCTGAGAATGAATATTTATTCTATGAATAATCCTTAATGTTCATAGCTTTCAACACATTTGGGCAAAATGTTTCAAGTTTCTGTGCTTACAATGAAAAATTTAAACTTGACACCTAAATAGGTGGCGTGATTTCAGCTGCATGGAGCACCTTCTGTGGAGACATCATTTCCTTCACACAGTTGCCTCTGCAGCATGACAGCGTTTTAACAGCTGAGAGTAACTCAACACAGCAATTTAGGTGATGAAATGAAGTATAGAGATAGCAGGGAGAAATAATAAAGGCAGAACTGGCGCTTGGCCAGAATAATTTCTTGAAAACTCTACTCTCATGCAGAAGTCTTGTGGGATGATCTGATGGCCAAATATGGTCAGGACTTAGTGCTGCATTTCATCCAAAACACAGCAAAGCTGGTGTTTCCCCTCCTTCCAGATGAAGAGTTAGCGTCGGCGGCTTATTTTTAGTGGTTTGGATGTAAAGTATGCTGGTTAAATTTCATATGGCCTGAGCTCAGTCTGCTCTACCATGCCAGTTTTCATGCCCAGAACTAGCAAAGCTCAGGGTCTGACACCACAGGCTCCTTCTTCATAGTCTTCATCCTGTAGGTCAGTGTTAGGACCTTGTTCTGCTGCTTGCTGGGGCTTGTGTTTATCAGGTGCCTGGGATGGGATTAAGGAAGATGAAACTCTATTTGGGGATATTTGGTAGCCTCAAAATGAGACAGTAATTAGCAGCAGGCCAGGAGGTGTGTAATGTGCAATACACATTAATCAGCACATTAAAAATGAATGTGCCATGTCGTGTAGTGGTGAAGTGGACAAGGAGCAGTCTGGAGCAGGTTGGGGCGTTAACTGAAGATGCAGAAGACTTCAGCTCTGTTGAATGAACTGCAGGTCCAGAGGAATGGGTTGCTACCACCAGCTCCTAAAGCAGAAGTGCAATTTTTCTCTGACCACAGCAAACAGACCATTAAAATGTCCATTAAAAAAAAATATATATATATATATATATATATATATATATATACTCATGTCCCATATATATTTACCACTGCTTCATTCCGTTGAAAGTCAAAGGCCCATTTGTGTTTGATGAAAGGCTTGGGATAGATCAATTGACTGGAAAAGGCTTAGAGGATTTAAATCTACAATTCCACGTGGACAGGTGCTAATCCACCAGTCTGCTGAGCCTGAGCAAGGTGCTGCAGAGCTGTCCAGGCACTCTGACTCCAGCCTGTACTTGTTTGGCCCAGAAAAGGTTGATCAGTGCTGGAACTGTAAAAGAGATTCTTCTAACCGAGCTGCTGGGAAAAGAACTCGTGCTTATTTCTAGCTACCTTTGGCATCTCTGCAGAGTTGTTGCCTCTGTTACAGGCAAGCTTTCCATGGTGACTTTAGTCTTTGAAGTGCTTCCTAGTGCACTGTAATGAGCTGATGAAGTGTTGTCCGCTGTGTGCAAGCAGCTCTGCTCAGGTTTCATAAAGAAGCAAGGTTTGCGTGGTTATAATGTGTGTGTGAGTGAATGAGGGGCCCAGAAGTCATCGAGATGGGAAGAAACTGTCCTTGTTCTCCAAAAGCCAGGGTCTCGCTGTGAAGGAGGAAAGGAACAGTAGCAGAGCAAGGAAAAAATGCGTTAGCAGCTCTGTGCCTCTGCTGGAATCAGAAAAAGCTTTTCCTTGAACTTTGGTTTTGTGAGGAGATGAGATTTATGTGGTGACAGCTGATGTAGGAGTGCAGCCATTACTGAAATCTGATGGCAATTTCAACCAAGTGGACAGGAGGTAGAAGTACCAAAAGCAACAAGTTCCTAAAAGTGATAAGAGGTGTGTATGTGAGAGAGGAACCTTCTGTGTATGTCTTTCCTGAACAGCCATGATCCAAAAGCTTCAGCTCCAGGAAGAGATGGGACAAAGTTTCTCCATCCTCAGTAGCATTCATGAATATGAGCCACCAGAGACTCCATGCAGGAGAAACAAGCTGAAAAGTGGATTTGGCTGCTGAGGATTTGCTATGAGTGAGGTGTTCATCAGGCTGCTCTGGTACCTACCAAGTGGGACAGCCCTAGTAAAAGTTGGTTTACAAATGTATCAGCCATGAGGCACGAGCCCATTGGAAACTGAGCACCCTTTCTTCCAACACTAACGGGATGATGAGGCTTTGTAATGCTTACAGAATCGAAGACAAGAATGGCTTAGGTCAGAAGGGACCTTAAAGATCATCTAGTTCCAACTCCTGGACACCAAGAAAACATTTCGTTTAGCTCTTTTCCCTCCTAATTTCTTTCCATAAAACCAAATAAAGGAGAAAAGAGATGCTGTATGAGAGACTGCTCTCAGGGTTGGGCCCTGTAAATCCAGTCTGTTGGCTTTTCAGGGGGACACTGGGACAGGAGCATGGCAAGGATGCTCCCACGCTGACTCTGACGGCCGTGAGCCAGCCCACACCGGGGTGGGAGACAGCAGAGGAGATGCTCCCTGCTGCGGCATGGCGGCAGTCAGCGGCTCGCGATTTAAGAAACAGATGAATATGAACCGCGTTGGAATGCCTTCAAAAATCTGCTAGCACTCTCCTCCCTGCAGAAAGCCGACTAAATCCCTTTCGCATTTCAGGCTCCTAGAGAGACTCTGAAATATTATCAGTGCTCTTTGACACTCTACCTGCCCCTCATCCCACCTGGCTTTCTACAAAACACATTTCCTCTGCTCTCAGGAAG